GTCTCCTTCTCTGGAGATATTCCAGCCCCGCCTGGACACGGTGCTGTGCAGCCTGCTGTGGGTGACCCTGCTTGGGCAGGGGGTTGGGCTGGGTGACCCACAGAGGTCCCTTCCAACCCCGACCATTCTGTGATTCTGTGAAGGGACGTTGTGACCCAGGGGGTGGATGCAGAGCCCCCTGGCCGCGTGCGCGGCGCAGGGCAGCCCTCGGAGCATCCCCATGGGCCGTACGTACCCTTCCCTGGGGCGGAGAGCTGGGCGCTGAGAGTGAGCTGGGGACAGGTCCGCTGGAGGACGGCGGGTCGGACCAGCGCTGCGGAGCTCACCCTTGCAGCTGGGTAGCTATGGTGGGGATCAAGGCTGAAAAAAGTAAGCGAAGAACCTCCATGGCGGTTGTACGTCCTTCGAAACCAGGTCCTTGAGCACTCAGTTTCCCTGGCCATGGCCAACTGAGCGAGGGGGCTCCAAGCCCTGCGCCTGGACTCCCTCGCTAGGCTGGGGAGCCAGAGGTGCCTGCTGGAAGCCATCCTGGTCATCCCTTTCCCTTGGCTGTGGGGGAACCACCCACCGGAGCTGATAAATTCCATCTGTAATGACAAATCCAAACGGAAACGTGGGCACCAGTCTGTACTTTTGGGCCAAATCTTGGACTTCTAACTTGAAGGTGAATGTCTGATTCCAGATGTGTCTAGACTTCTCCTGCTTACTTTGTGTAGGTCTGGTGTCTGGTTCTGGATGGATATTGTCTGGTTCCAGATGTGTCTAGACTTCTCCTGCTAATTTTGTGTGGGTCTGTGTGTACCCATATCGGTGTATTTTACCCTAAACAGACACTTGCTGCTGTTGGGATGTGGGGACTGGTCTGGCAGAGTCCCAGTTTCCCTGCCCCACATCCTGCACGCCGGAGCACTCGCGCGGGGAGAGACGCGAGCTCAAATCCTTCATCTTTGAACTGGATGCGAATTTTCCGCTTTCTGGGAGGACGCTGGGCCCACAGGTTCGAGGGTGCTGGGGTGAGGGTGCTCACAGTGTGGAAGCAGCTTCCACCTCTGTGTAAGGGGCTGGGGTACGTTGGCATGAACGCCTGGCCCTGGGCTTCACGCCGTTGCCTCCTTGGCCAGCTTGGCACGGGATGCTGAATACCGAAGCATTCACAAGACCAAATTCACAGAATCCCAGAATGTTCAGGGTTGGAAGGGCCCTCTGGGGATCCCTTCTTTCTCTCAGCGCATCACAGCTGACACCAGCACTGAGCAATCGCATCTCTATACCCCAGGAAATTCCAAACTGGAAAGTTCTTCGAGCAAAACTGTAGGAGAGGGGTTTTTTTCTGAGGGCTGGAACACCTCTCCTACGAGGACAGGCTGAGGGAGCTGGGGCTGTTCAACCTGGAGAAGAGAAGGCTCCGGGGTGACCTTAGAGCAGCTG